GTTGTTCGTGTCACTTGGAAAGGGAACAGTTTTTTGACAGCTTAAAGGGATTCATCAATCGTTCATGTTGATTAACTGATGGTTATTTGGTGAATCCTTTTTAAGATGACGGAAGATTACATCGATTGCCAGCCGAACTGACAGAGGATGAAATGATAGCGACAGTACAACGAGCGATGAATAAAGCAAGTGCACACATGGAGGATTCCGTGTTGGCTTCATATACAGCACTGTTGATCGGGTGTTTGATGCAACAAAATGAGGTTAGTATTATCGAGGCAGGTGTTATAGCGACTTAGTCGTATCCACGTAGCTATTAATCAGATGAGCTCGAATATATTTAGTTGTTTGGATGTATTTTCGATTGATTCATCTGTTGATTTTATTGAATAGATGCTGGTTATCGCGTTTTTCATGTGAATTGTTTTGGGATGATTTACTGCTGAGGGTGAAGAATATTGATGTTCAGAAAAAAATATTGATTGATGTGCGATCATTTTTTGTATCATCAAAGGTAGTAATGAAGTGATGCTTTCAGGAGATAGCGGCTGAAGTAAAAGCGCAAATGCCAGATGGAAAGTTAACGCCGATGGTGGAGCAACTGCAACGTTTTCTTGATTTCATGAAAATTTCGGTCGGTTTTTATTTTTGCATTCATATTCGAATTTTGATTGTGTTTTTTCATTGTGGAGAAGGGTTTTAATTAGACGGTATTGAATATTCAAATAATTTCGATTTCTTTTCAGAATATCCGAAGCTCCGGGAACAGATCGGTTGAGCGAATAATTGATTTATTGGATCACTTGAATGGTTAGGTAAGAGATGTGCACTTGGTTTTGTAGAGTGATACGTTGCAGTGATCTTTATCCATATTTATCAGCTGGGTTGCAATCGAATATCGAATTTGCTTTCGTTCTTGTGAAGGCGTTTCAATTTAAAATTTACTTCAAAATGTTCACGTGTTGCATTCTTTTTGGATATTATTCGTAAACAAAAAACGTCGTTTTAGTATAGTTCGACTGAAATAAATACGACAAGTGTGGACAATTTTGATGAGACATCGGCTTTTGTTTATGAGTTTTTTAATAGATTCCATTTATTCTTTGTGTATTGATTGTCTTTCTATTAATTTCATTTGACATTCTTAGTTAGTTATTTCTGGTGATCAAAGAAAAAA